GTGCATGGTAGTGGGCGAGGTCGGGGGTAAAAAAGGTACTGAAAACTTGAAGGGGGGGGGGGGTCGTTACTGGGAATCCTGGAGTAGTAAAACCAAGTGAAGCTAGGCGGAAACCTGGAGTATAAGTAGAACTGAAAATCTTATAGGAAAAAATTGCTAAACATGATTTCTCGTGGCACACCATGCCCCATACTCGCCTCGTGCCGGACTTCATGGAATAATACTCGGTATACCACAAGAAAACAGTGCCTTTAATAGTATAGTATTGAAGCCCGTAAATCATATTCGGTACTCGATACATTTTWATAAGCAGAGATTACGGAAAACATTGAACTGACAAAATCAGTGATAAAATAGTACGACGCTTATCAGATGTCCTCTTCAAGTACACTTGGATGGAAATGGAAATATTCCATTCAAGCAGGAGCATTCAAGTGTGCTTGATAATGACATTTGAGATGTCGAAACGTCGAGAATTTTGAATTTCTCGATTATGATTGGACTAGAGGAGTATTAATAAATACTCGTGATGTTTTGAAAGTTCTCAAATTGGACTCGCCTAAGGCTTGTCCAATTTTGAAAACTTTCAAAACATCACTCGTACCTACAAATTCCAAATTGCCACTCGAGATTGTGTGATTTTCTATACCAATCTTGTTAATCTTGGGTATAAATATTAATGCAACAAACACAGTTAAAGGCAATTTATTTTCAAAGATTCCTATCCAATGAGAATGAATATGAATCAAAACTGACTTTTCTCTTGCTTATTCTCAGCCTAAACTTCCTTTTCGTTCAAAAAATTTGAATTTTGAGAACACCACAAATTTTGAAGAAAAAAAAAAAAGAAAAGAAAATTGAAAATTCCAAAGTTTTCTCCCACGTATTCCAAAGCCTTCAAAGTGAACTGGGAATTTTTTTAGTTAACCAAATCATGAAATTATAACCCTCGCTTCCTTATTTCTGTTTACATTTTTGTCCGTCTGTCCGTCCTTCTGCATCTACAAGATGCACAGCCAAAGTTCTTCTATCTTGCATGCTTCTTGTGGGATCCATAACACTCGTATAGCAATCTGTATTATATTTTTTTGTTTTAACCGGATACCAACAATATAGCACATTATAAAATCCGTTGTTACGAATATTTTCATTTCATAAAATGTTTTTGCGATTAAAAATGAGAAGTGTTTTGAAAAATCCATCTAAAATATGACAGATTAAGTGTGAATTATTTATAACTATTCATATGGCGAGATCAATGTCTCTTTTAATTCATGTATTGTGTTTACCTAAAAATCTAAATATGCAAATTATCAAAACCGCGAGAAAACCATTGCATGAAAAACTGATCTTTTTCCGCACAAATTGAAAAAGTTAATTATTTCTTATCTAATTGTTCCATMTGTTTTCTCGAATGGTTCTTTCCAATAATCTGGATTCGTCTGTTATTCAATACGACTGCGAAAAAGAAAAACAAACCTTATGAATTATAAAAATGCAATGGGRATTTATTCAAGGCAGCCGCCATGATTGTTCTTGTTTGCCTCGCGGGCAGAATTTTGAAACCTCAATTGACCAGGACTAAAAACTTCCCACGTTAAATTCTCTCAAAAATAGAGGGAAAAAAAGCCGTACATATAGGCACGAAAGAAATAAAAAGAAAAGAAAAAAAATGACAAAAAACCAAAATTGGGGAAAAACCAAAAAAAAGTTTGAAAACGAATTAATTTATTACTAGAAAACTAAAGCAATGAAAAGCAGACTAATTCAAGTTAGAATTTGAATTCATTAATTTCCCTCAAGCTTTTTCCGTTTGTTTGAGATCCTTCTCGAGGAGCACCTGTTGTTGCAGTTTTTCTTCTTCTTCTTCTTCTCGTTCTCTCCTTTCCTTATCCAGGTTGTAAAAATAGCTAAAGTTCGATACGATGACAGGGACAGGCAAGGCTAGTGTCAAGACACCTGCAATAGCACACAGCGATCCAATGACTTTCCCCCAAGAAGAGATCGGYGCCTTGTCACCGTAACCTACCGTTGTCATAGTAACTACCGAAAACCAGAAAGCCTCAGGTATACTAGAGAAGTGCTCGCTTTCYACATAAAACACAGCGCTAGAAAAGATTATAACTCCCATTAGAAGAAAGAACGTCAGAAGTAGAAGCTCTCGGAGGCTTGCTCTTAGAGTCTGGCCCAGCACCTTGAGTCCACGGTAATGGCGAGAGAGTTTGAAGATACGAAATACGCGAATTAGACGAAGGATCCGAAGAAAAGCAATAAGTGAGTTGTTCTTCTTCGAGCCAAACGAWGTCCCTATTCCTAGAATGATGTAATAAGGGAGGACAGCCACAAAGTCGATGATATTGAGGAACGAACGAATAAAGTCCAGCTTTTTTGGCGCCGCAATAAAGCGAATCACTAGCTCGAACGTGAACCACGCTACGCAGAAGATCTCAATCTTGTTGAGCGCGGAGTTCTTGTCCTTACGAGTTTTGCGAAGCTCCGGTAACGTCTCGATGCAAAATACCGCAATAGATAACAGAATTACCCCGACTGACCAGACGGCTAGGATCTTAGCTGCTATCGAAGAGTACGGGTACTCGAAAAAATTCCAAATTGCCTTCAAGATGGGATTTTTGGGCATCGGTGGTGGTTCCTCCATTGATTCAGAGCAATATTCCTTAAAGAAATCCTCAGAAATTAATTCGGTTARCTCAAAAAACTCTATTTCTCCCAGGAATGTTTTCTTGTCCAGGTCAACGGGCCAAAGTAGCTTTCCATTTGATTGGTAAAAATATAATATTGAATCAAAAGCCACTCGATTGCGATCGAAAAAGTACTCGTTATTTTTGGTGTCAAAAAAACTCGCACGTTTTTCGGGACTGCCTAACAGTGACGTTGGAAAGCGCGCCAAAGTGCTTTCTAAAGTTTCGTAGGACATTCCACTGATGTTTATTTTGACTCGTTTTTCCTTTTTCTTGGTAGTTTTTCGTTCTTTGTAAATTRAAATTATCGTCGGATGAGCGCTTCGAAGTCCATGCTCGATGGTCCGACTGCCGCGTCTTTTCTCCTCGGCTTCCGCTGTTGACCTCTTTGATGGAGAAAACCCAGGAAAAGCTCGTGTATCTGAAGGCCTTCGACATCTCCATGACCCATCGTATCCTTCTGTAAGTCCGTAATTTTCATTCTGAATCGCTTGGGCGCCAGATACGAGTACAGCTTCCATGACGCGAAACCGGCTTCCTCCTTTCTCGCTGAAACTTGGCTCCGATGACGCTCCGTGCCCAAATGATCAACAGAGATCAGAGTCTTATATCCGACGAGGTTTCGTATCGTAAACAATTCATCCAAAAACAGATGRAGGCTGGTCAGCAACTTATAAGAAATGATCTTAGAGACCACGTAACGTAGCTTATCGTTTCAGGYCAGTCTTTCCGAGCGTCGAAGAAGGAAGAGAATTTAAAAAGAAAGTTGATGAGTAAATCAAGCAAAGCAGAGAGGAGTGGAGTGGTTCACGTGACCTAACCTCAGAGCAGCTGCTTAATTCTGACATCCAACCGGTGAAACAGGATAAAAACAAATTCTCTTCAAACAGTTCAATATCAGTTAAAACTCTTCATATACTACTATCCATACGCTCTGAGAAGTTTGCTGGTGCCAAAATACTTCCATWTACTGTCCTCAGCGTCCCGAAATAAAAGATTTTTACCAACTTTGACACCCTGATCAGAAAACTAYGAACCTATTTACTTCGTGGAGCCAAAGTGTTATTCCTTCTAGCTTTCCCGAGGTACACTGACAACACCATCAAAATATGAATAATTAAATATGACAACCGCTGGGCTAGATCTACCCAAATAGTCGTCTGGCCTCACACTCACTGCTCTCCTACTAACAGAAATCATTAATAAGTCATTAAATTCGATAGATATTGGAATCTRCCGTTAACAAGTCATCGAAACTTGTTTTGGAGCTCAAAAACTCGATTCCTATTTAGGATGAGCAAGGAAAGCATTGGATATATTACGTGTGATGTGGCGAGCGCATTTTCGCTCTGATCGATGCTAATTGTTGAAAGAGAGGCCTTTTGCCATAGAAACCAATTTTTACTGTGTGTTTTTCTAATTATGAGAGTCTTATATATGTAGTTCCGAAGTATTTTATTAATATTTAATCGTTTCAAAGAAGATAAAACCATGAGTCAGTCTTCACGTCTAAAAAAGAGAGGTCTATTTTAAGTGAAAAAGTAAAGTAAAAAAGCGTTTCTTTGATATTGGTTCTTGACAAATCGTTAAAGTGTTGTGTTATCAGTTTTTGATTAAAAAAGAGGGAAAACTTGAAAATYTAGCAAGAAAACATGTATTTTCTTGTGTTTTTCTCCAAGATAGCGATGAAAAAAGAATCCCGGACGCTAATATGTATCCTTATAATGAATCTTGGAATCACACTGGATCAATTTAGGCTTTTAAATATTCCTTCTGTAATCTTCAAGATCAAAAAACATGTCACTCTTGYATTTAATTATTAATAAATTCATCTTAACTCCTAAAAAGCCTTTACTGAAAAAATTGTCCTTATGCATATAATGTGAAAAAAAATTGTTCGTTACAGTCGTCGTTGACTAAATTAAATTATTTTAAATTTCGAGGATTTAAATTTGGGTTTAATTCCTGTTGAAACTGATAATCTGGGGTCAGGTTATGCTAGATTAAATTCTTGTATATGTTCTATTGCTATGGAAGATTTTCATGTACCAAAATATTCAGTTAGTCGACTCGCGATCAAGTGCATGTTTGATTAGATGACCAAAGAAAAAACGAGTGAAGATGTGTTACACTTGAATATAGTTTTTTGTTGTTGAAAATTTTCTAGTTTTAAACGGGATTATTAATTTCATCTCGATACCCAATCRTGTGTGTCCATTTGAAACCGCTTGTAATATATGATTTATAATTACTTAATTCATCGAAAATCTTYTGTCTTTTCGTCATAAGGCAAACTAAGTTTCATTTCTTCATTACGATGAGGTTATTTGTCTATACATAAACATTGTTTTGCCAAAAATTATCTGATTACTTTCTCAAACATTTCMTTCATTTTATTGTTTTAGTCAAAAAGCTGTCATGATGTATAATTTCCTTTAAATTTTATCATTTTTTAACACCTTTATATTTTTTCACATCCGTTGAACAAAGTCTAAAGCCGTTCAACCTGTGACTTTACCATGACATATTTGTATAACAAACTTTACCCTCCATAGCCTGACGTGTACTCCATGTCTTAATATATCTAGATTGTAAACCAATTGAAAATCTCTAAGATAGAAATATATTAAAGTATCAAACTGCAGTATCTGGTTGCTGCACTAGCAAAGTGCTTCATAATTTAAGTTCACTCTCGCCAGAGAGGGTACAAAATAATTTGTCATTAGGAGAGAGAGAGAGAGAGAGCAGGAGCAAGAGCAAGAGAGAAAAGAGATAACATAATCTTATGTATACTATTTCATACGTACGGCACATCAAAAAAACCGTCGAAGAAATCTAAGTTACACCAAAAATTTATAGTTACTAATAGTTTTTTTTTTTTGGAAATTTGGTGTTTTTAATATGGTTGGTACATGACAAAACGAGAGTTTATAACAAATTTACACAGCTGACTTAACGTGGTTACTATATCGACCCATTTATACATCTAYTGCTAAAATTATTGACATCTTTGACACATCTTTGGAACATAGTGAATGAATTTCATGGCGTCCTAACCCTAAACTCTACAAAGCTTGATGAAAAAATTCTAAGGTGCAATTTGGATTACCAGTAGGACAATGTGAAAAGATAATGCATACGTGAATTAGTTATCAATGATCTTTCCGTGCCGAGTATTGACAATAATTCTATTCTCTTATATATTTTGCCACTTAAGAAAAGGAATAAGCTTAGCGCTCTACACAGCGGGAGGATTTAAAAAGAAATTAATAAAATTAAAAGTTATATAATTGCAAGTGGTATATGTGGCTGAATGATTGAAAAACGTGTCARGGATTAAGAAAAATAACACCTGATCCTTAGGCTTAATGCGCATGTCAGAGATCACTCTATGTATGATTGGTTGGATCTTCGTCAGTTCGGTTTACAGACTAACTTTCTAGSGATAGCTGGGCYATGATGCATTCTGGTCTAGCTATGGTACAAAAAACACCATATAAGGCATGAATAAGAGATGTTTATAATTGCACTGAAGCTAGAACACAACGCATCCTTAATTGCTTCCCACCCTKCTTTTCATGGTTATTCAGTTTACAACTACCTGCACGCGTTAYGTGTATTTTACACCAGTTGCACCAAAGGTTTGCACATGGTCACAAATTCGCGAGTGTCCGTGTCACAGATAATAGTATATTTACTTATTTTATTTTATGTAATTTGTGTCCTCAAGGGGAGTGCCTAGCATGTGWCTCAGAGTCCCGTTCGCGCTCTCCCTATTGGGTAGTCTTTCACATTTATTTTCTAATTATGTATGCATGTACCTTAATTATAGTAGCTATTACCCAATAAAAAAATTGAAGTTGTAAAAATAATGATAATAATCATTATCATCATCATCATCATCATCATTCATGAGTTTTTCAAAATAGCGGTTTTCGTTATCGTTTCATGCGATCAGTAATAATGAGTCGTTTCCCAAAACTGACATGCGCAAAACTAGTCTACAGGCCAATCAGAAAGCTGAAAAATGCGGCAAAATTACGAACTTAATATAGAAAGCATTAAAAAGTTAGCAAAAKGCGTTGACTCAAAATTTAATTAATAACAAAAATCATTTATATAAATGATTATATATAAAAGCCGGGAGTGTGAGGACTATTTTGGTTGTCACTATACCGTATGCCGGTGAATATTAGAGAATAAAAATCAACCTCGTGTTTAAAAAACGATTYAATTAGTGTTTTACCGGCAGGGATTTCGGCCACCGAGAATTATTGTCTAACACACATAAGAAAGCCAGCAGACCCGTTTTAATACTTATTAATTGTAGTCGTATCGCGCAATAAAACTTTTTTCCATAAATGCTTGCTATTGTTTATATAATAAATAGAACAATATATGGACACTTGGAGATATGAACTCTTATGTTCAAATTCGATATCTAAAGTACTTGGTCGCTGTGCTCACTCGATTTGAACACTCGAAGATAAATTCCGCACGTCCATATATTATTGAGAGTCCTGAAGAGGTAAATGGGAGTGGGATTCGCCTTTTTTGGGCTGGGAAAATGGGATTTTATGCTATCGGAATAGAATTCACAAACAAACATTAAAAAAAAAATCGAAAAATTAAAATGGGATTGAGATTTAGATTTGAGCAAAACATAGGCTATGGGATATGGAATTTGGTCAAAATGAAGGCTGGAAAATAGGATTAAGACCCCTCTTGAAGATCGACCCTCATTTATTCTCTTTTTTATTCATCTACCTGATCATAATTGACTTTTTAAGAACCTTTTCGTCTTAAAGGCAAAACTGTTTGCTTTGGACAAAATATTTCATTAAAACAGATGCCATGTCTGGCTCGTTCTCTTACTCGAGTCAACATCTCAAGCATGCAYCAGCTGTATATACCACTAATTAAAGTTATCAAAAGTAAAGCTATCTCAAAATATGGGATTGTACTGAGTTGCTATCACTGATAAGGCTGGTTTAAAATAGAGCCAAATTTTMATGCAAAACTATGTACGCAGTATATTTTATCTCCAAATTAAAAGCTCCTAGAATTTTCTATTCAGTTCTGTATAAAAAAGGTAACAATTTAACTATTAACGAAAGATATATACCTATYTGATAATATACCGTACGAGGCTTTGCACCATCACGTGACGGCAGCCATGTTAGATGGCAGGAACAATACAATCATTTTACAAGAGAAAGAATTCAATTCCCGATAGTCGACGGGATTTTTTTATACCAYYTAACYACAAGCAGCCCAAGCTGTATTATGGRCGCCGGCACGTGATATTGCTTCTRTAGTGGGTGAAATGAACTAAGTAGCTTTTGTATATTGGTTAAACCGGTTTGACCAGATGTTTCTTTCCCTAAAACATGATGGGGGAGGGGGGTTCGGTGGCTTATGAGGGACATATATGAGTTAGACGAGTTGCTACAAATAACAAAGGGTAAATTTATGTTATACGAGTTGCTGCATTTTAGACGAGTTGACGCAAATATTATTAAAGCTTGCTAGAGTCCATTTGAAACTTTTAAAAAACTCATCAAGAAACTCCTAATATAATATAAACTTTAATTTTATTAAAATATTAAATTATTATTATAAATAAAATATCTATTCTATATATAAATATTTTTACCACAATTGTAAATTTTCTCGCGCGCTGATTGGTTAAAAAACGTCGTAAATAAGAGGCCATACCACTCGGCTTACGCCTCGTGAGTCCATAACATTTTGACCAACTTTTGACGTCATATCGTGGTAAATAAGAGGACATACCACGCTAAACCAACGTTAATTTGTTAAATATATATGTATCCAAATATTGTAAAATTATTTCAATTATTTCTACTTTGCAAGAGAAATAGATAATATAAGAATGTGTCCCAACTAGTTCTCATGGGAAAGATCCTGGGAACAAAAATCACGCTAATTTCACATTTAATTCGTAAATTAACTAATAGCTAAGGGTATCTAACTGGTGTTGTACTCTCCACATCAGCGTGACATTCGCTACACGTGTCGCAGTTCAAGGCGCAGCCAACACACRCAACCACGTGACCACATGGAACAAACGAGCAATTCTTGTACGCTTTYCTACAGTACTTACAAAGAAACCGCGCCTGAAACGTTTTCTTTTCTTTCTGCGCGGATGAATTCGCTCTAAATTGGGTTACAATATCTTGGATGGATTGATCGAGATTAGGACTTGCGGGGGATTGATTGCAAAACTGTCTTGTGTCGCTGATTAATGACGTCTGAGACACTGCTGGGAATAAAGGGTGTAACATTGACTGGGACATCTCCCTTTTTGTAGGCATTACCTGTCCTTGGAACGCACCTGGTGTAATGGGTCCTGGACTTGGACTTCTGTGATACATGCCCCGTGGTGGAGATACTAGTGCTAGTCTTAATGATGTCCCTGGTACTTCTAGATGCATTCTCGGTGTTTGTGGCAATTTAGATGTTGACGGAGGCGTTGGATTATCGGCAACTACTTGTGGAATACATGGTGTCAAATATCCRTTTCGCTGCGGCGATCGCGACATTGACGCTGGACGAGAGAAATCAAAAACTGTATTAGACTTTGAAGTATCTGGACCGAATTTAAAGGCCTTCTGTTCGAAGATTTTAGGCGTGTTTAGGCCACATGCGATCTGGATAGCCTTTGCCCTTTCCTCTGCTAAAAGTCTCCATGCGTTACTCAAGGCTTCTGGAGCAGTTCTTAGTATGTCAAAATCGTAAATCCTCTGCTTTTGCGCATYTTTGCGTTTAAAGGCCGTAACAAAAGATTTAAGATTATTTTTGTTTGTCTTGGAGTCAAGCGCCCAGTCGTAGACTTTTTCTTGAGTAAAGAAGATGCAATACTCAACCGTTGTGCGGTAAAGTGCTTGCGCAGCTGTCTTGTTGTCTAGTTTGTAAGTTATCTTGTAGCAGCGGTAGTTTTCTTCGATTTCTACGCTAAAACTGCTGCCCTTGAAGGAAGGGTACAAGCCTGTTGAATACCTGTATCTGGATATAAAAACAAAATGATTGTAAAATGTTTAATATAAATAATAAAATTTAACACAACAAAGTGATAAGMTTCGATTGTAACAACTAGACTATATAGGCAGCTAGAAACAAATGATAGAAAGAATATTCACTAGTCACTGGGGGGAGTGGGGAGTCACTGTGGGGGGGTGGGGGTGGGGGTTGTGCGGTGGGAATCCTAGTCCACATGACAGCTTCGATCATGCATGGAATACTATACGAACACAATATAATTTTGAAAGATTAAAATAACGAGGAATTGATAGAAAGCTTACTCATCGATAAGGCTGCCATGGTCGTTGTCATAGATACGCAGAGCATCGACACAYACAGCAATGATAACTTTTTCCTTCAGATAGTCGATTGCGCTAAACATTTCCGCGCCGTACGTCTGTTCTTCATTCTCCAGCTCACTAAGTAACCTTTCCTCTGCCTTTATCCCATGAATCCCCTTCAACTGCGCATGCGCAGCTCTCAGTCTRCCCAGAGCCTCGATATCAACTTGTGGATTCCAGTCCTTCATTAGAAGAGAGTATTTACTGATCTCGTTCAGTGCGTCTTCGCCGTGGTCCCGACGAAGCGATAGGGCCGCGAAGCGCGAGCTTTTGTCACGTGACAAGATGTACTTGCCCTGGGAAAGATTTTGTCTGACGTTCAAGAAAAATTGATGCCTAGATGGAATAAAGTATAAAATGTCAATTAATTTTTTAGTGATTTTGATTAATTTTATATTTGGTTTTCATTTTATTCTTAGTAACCCAGGCAAYAAGCAACCCACCCACCTCTCTCCATCAAATGCGCAGCCACTTCCTTAGGCACACTATAGTCTATAGACCCCTTGCAGCTCACTTGGAAGACAAAACAAAGAATTTCAATCTCCTGAGAATTGGAAACCTATTGTTATGTCCTGCAAGTAGATGTGCATTCCATCGTGCTGCAAGGGGTCTATTTTCTCTTTCGATCTCATTAAAGAGGTTTGCTTTTCCCCCACAACCCTCTCGCAGAAATGCGCACTCACTTACAGCCCATCATAGCTGACCCCACAAGCTTTTCAAACACTGTAATTAAATTAGATCTAAAAAATATGCGATGTTTCTTATATCAGGTCCCGTATCATTCGAGCTCAAGTATCATTTCTTTGTTTAATATTCTCTTCCATGAGAAGACACTTAAATGTGGATGTCAACTCAAACAAAGAATCATATTCTGACTGAATTAAGAGAATGACTCGTGGTCTGAAATAAAAAAACACTATTACTTAAAACATCTTTTTCCTATTAGATTAGTGCTTTGAGTTTAAATCCTTCCACTGGAGGGCACAACATTTGAAAGCTATAAATGTGGCTTGTCAATATACAATATTTAAACTCCCAGCAAAGTATGAAAGAAACCTCACTTACTTTGTTTCCCTCARAAAAAGTTGACTTTGTTTTACAAAGTACTTGACTCGAAAGTGCAAGTGATAGATGTGTGATTTACTCATTTGTATTCGGATTTGGTTGCGCAAGTTCAGCCATTGTTCTTGTTTCGACTTGTTCAAGMATCGCAGACCAAAATAATCCATTTCTGGAGTCAGTCTTTTACGTCGACAGACCTGATGAAGAAAAAATTGTCAAACTTAAAAACTTTGAAAATTGTAGATAGAGGTCGATTAAACTCTCATTTTTATAGAGGAACTTGTGGACACGGCTGACTCGCTAAGTAAAGTCAGGGCATAGCTAACTCGATCAAAGAGCGCACCCTAAAGCAACCTCGGGAGGCTGATCAGTGGACGAGTGCTTAATTCTAAGATTGAATTGGAATTTAGTTCGTTAGGTCACTGAAGAAAGAGGAAAATGGAGAACCCGAAAAAGGACAAACACTCTTGAATAATGAGAACTAACAATCAGTTCTGATAGAATGATACGATATCGTCAAATATCTTACCTCTTCTAGAAGACATGAGCCTTTGGCGTATTTGTCCAAAGCTACGTTTTCCGTTGTCYCGTCGAGTAAATGAACCGCACAAAGCATACTAACGAACTATAGTCTTCTATGATATACTCAGAAAAMTTTTGATGCAAAATCGTAGTAATAATCGAAATTTAAAAGACTTTTCGACGCTTTGAAGTTCTAAACGTTATATGGTTGTAGATAAAGTTTGAAGAGTGGGAAGTAACTTTTTTATGGTAATCATACGCGCATTTCAATGCCTTCATGCGTCAGTTACGAAATCAACTCTCCAATGAATATACTTTCGAGTATTTAGAAGCAAAAGAATAAGTGTGCATTGTATTTGGTGTAGCTTTGTCTAAAGGGTCATACATATGCTACAAGAAGGTGCAAGAAATACTTTCATGGGTTTACAAACATCGACGTCAGGGATCTTTTCTCATTCAAATTTGCCAACCGTTTAAACAAAAGATCTCTGTTTCAGTGGCTAATAGAGATCTGGTTGGTAAAGGAAGGAAGAAAGAAAGGTTCTTATATCCAGGATTTTCTCAAAATTACGGGGATAAAAAAAAGTTATATAATAATTCCATGATCCAAAATTAGGATTTTTCTATACAGCTGTCCCTATTGATGGCTGCACACCACAACTGATTCAACATCTAATAACATACTATCCTTAGAAGTTTTATCAACCTTTCAGCTGWTTGCAAGTAAAGTCAGCCAATAGGAGTGCTTGTGCTGCTACATAAAGCTRGGCGAGGTCGTTATTAATCGAAGTTTGTTATTTGATCTTTATATACACGAGAAAAGAAGAACTCAAAATGAAGGGAGTATTGATTGTAGCGTGTTTGGTGCTTGTGGCATCGACTTGTCTTCAAGCCATGCCWGCRGGTTAGTATCATAAGCAGAATTATMACTATAACAGKAACAACTAGGTAGTGCCTRGYAKAGTTACGAGTGAGTTAGGTTTGACCACCCTCTCTATTCAATATTACTATCAGTATCATTASCAGAAAACTATGATAAGAAAATCATCGACTCCCTGTCTGATTACTGGAGAAGTTTTCCATTTCAGAACAGGTMTCTCTCTTTTAAAATGCCGAAGACAATTTTTTCAGCATATTAATCATTCGTCCCTTCTCTGGCATTTCCATTTGACTCCCACTACCAAGATGCTTCGMGAATTTYATTTMAAATTGTATTCCCTTATGAGARTAGYAAGACAATTGGTGCTAATTTACTGKACAWAAGAAAGTGTGCAAGGGGGTCTGCTARTAGAAGTTAATGAYGCCATCGTGAAAACGTCCTATTAAAATAACACGCAAGGAGATGAAAAAATTACGGCCCTTATGAAAACGTCTATTATCGAAGTGGTTTGGGGTTTTAGACTTGTTAACAAAATATCCCTAGAACTCTCGTAACACAAAATGAGATCTAGTAGGTAATGCAAAGGGTAGACTGCGCATCTGATTTAGTACCAACATCATCTAATACAATGGTACAACTTTCAATCGAATAAGCTACTAATAGTGACCACACCCACACCGCTAGTGAACTGTTTTCTTGGTCTAGAGCCATCACCCTCATATAGTGACCAAACTAAATCTCTGARAGCTCAAACTCAATATTCATTCTTTACAGAGAACCAAGAATTTTGCAGCTCTGATTATGACCTGGCGTACTGCGGAAAGTCTTGCAATCGCGGCGATTGTACMAGCAGTGGAAAAAGAGACTGTGAAGACGGATTGATGTGTTGTGTGTGCCCGATGTGAACAAACAGGTACTTACAATATATCTTTAAACCAGTCTGATTTGTGTAGCTTAATAGCGGGACCTAAACGTCTATAAAAAAGAGACCTCCCATAGCCACTAGCGCTTCGTAATCATTCAAGGTAAATCTGTTCTTATTTTTTAATTAGCCATTTATCAGGCTACGCCCTCGGTGAATATATCACATGACCCCTCGCTTCAGGTCGATAACCCTTATATAGACTCTAGGGAGGGTTTTGGTCGCGCAGCAATGATACGTCGAAGAACGAATGGTCTTAACATTA